TGATGGATCGGTGTTAATAAGAAATAATTATGCCTTATAGATTGTTGGCATTAGCACCATCAAATTAAAAGTGTATGATAGGTCAATTCATACTATTCAAGAATTACGATATGTGAAGGGCTTGAAAAAGAATCTATTATCTTTGGGATAATTAAACAGTCTTGGCTGTAAGACTCGTGTTGAAAATGAGATTATGAAAAGTGTCAAAGGATTAAACTTGTTTATGTTAATGAGAGAAACAAACCAAGACGCAGAGGCAACTATTGCATCAATCAATTCTACAGAAAAGATGACAATGAAGTGGCATAAAAAATGAGGTCATATGTCAAAGAAAGGCTTGAAAATTCTCATTAATCAAAAGTTACTCCATAAGCTTATAAAAGTTTCTTTACCCTTATGTAAACATTATGTTACATGTAAATAACATCGACTGAAATTTAGCACATCAATAACTAAAAGCAAAAGTATCTTCGACCAAATTCATTCCAATGTTTGGCAAGCACTGATTATATCTATGAAAGATGCAAAATTATTTTTATCATTCATTAATGACTTCTCCATGAGATATTAGGTATATTTAATCAAAAGGAAAGTAGTTGTGTGTTTGGTCTATAAAGCCTTTAAAGTAAGAATAGAGCTTATATTTGAAAAGAAGATCAAATGTTTAAGGACTGATAATGAAAGAAAATATACCAACCAAGAATTTGATGAATTATATCAAAACGAAAGAATAAAAAGGCAATTCACAATGCCATACATACCATAACAAAATAGAGTAGTTGAGTGGATGAACTGAACACTATTGGAAAGAGCCAGAGCAATGTTAAGGGCTACAAGACTAGCCAAGTTATTTTGGGTAAAAGCGATCAAAATCGCATGTTATGTGCTCAATCAATGTCCATCAATCGCAATCAATCTAAAAACACTAATGGAGATACGGCTGGTAAACCAACAGTTATTCTCATTTGTATATATTTGAGAGTCATATATACATAATGTACGATTCTCATTAAATCACTAAACTAGATTTAAAATCCAAAAAGTATTTATTCTTAGGATATGTTAATGGAATTAAGAGGTATCATCTATGGGATCCCATTAGCCACAAAGTTGTCATTAGCATATATGTAATATTTGTAAAAGATAAGGTAAAGGAAAATGAAAGCACTACAATAAAGATTACATGAATTTAAGTGAAAGATATTCAAAATCAAAAAGATTCAGACTCTTCTGAAGCTACATTAAAGGTTGAAGCATAAGAATAAGTTAAGGCTAAAGTTCTTAATGTTCATCGATCAATTGGTGAGAGAAAACCACTGGATTGGCTCTCATAATACATTACTGAGAGTAATATTGCATGCTATCTTCTAATAGAAAATAAAGAGCTATCAACTTTTCAAGTGGCTACCTAAAACCTAAATATATCCTTATAGATGACAGTAAGTAAGAGAAGATTAAAGCCTTATACAAGAATAAGACATTGGATCTTGTTCCACTACCCCAATAAAAGAAGGTCATTGAAAACAAATGGGTTTATAAGATCAAACTTGATAGTAATGACCAAATGAAACATTATCATGCAAGATTAATGGTAAAACGATATGTTCAAAAAGAAGGTATTGACTTCAATGAAATATTTTCACCGATGGTATGACTTACAACAATTAGAGTAGTCTTGGCCATATGCCACATTTGATCTTCACTTAGAGCAACTAGATGTAAAGACTATATTTCTTCATGAAAAACTAAAAGAAGAAATTTATATGTTCAAACTAAAAGGTTTTGTCAAAATAGGCAAAGAGAACTTGGTTTGTAGGTTGAAAATATCTATACAATCTCAAACAGGTGCCAAGATGTTGGTATAAAAGATTTTATTCTTTCATGACAAGTTTTAGGTATAATAGACTCAGTTCAGACTATTGTATGTAACACAAAAGATTTGATGAAAATGATTTTATCATCCTGTAGTTGTAAATTAATAACATGTTAGTTGTAGGTGCCAATAGAGATTAAGTTAAAGAATTAAAAACACAATTGGCTAGGGAGTTAGACATGAATGACTTGGGGCCTGCAAATAAGATTTTAGGGATACAAATTCACCAACATAGAAATAATAAGAAGATTTAGCTTTCTTAGAAAAACCATTTGAAGAAAATCTTACACCACTTTAACATGCAAAATTGTAAGCCAATTTCTACGTCACTTATTATTATTTTCAAGTTATCCTCAAGTATGTCTCCTAGCAATGAAGCAGAAAGGATGGAGATATCTTAAGTATTGTACGCATTAGTAATGGGAAGTTTAATGTTCACCATGATATGTACAATACCAGACATTGCACAAATAATATGAGTGGTTAGTCGATACATGGGAAATCCTAGTAGAAAGCATTGGAATACTATTAAGAGGATCTTAAGATACATCAAGGGTACCTCTAATATTGCATTATATTATAGAGGATCAAAATTTACTATCGAGGGTTATATTGATTCAAACTTTGTGGGTGACCTTAATAAGAAAAAATCCACTACAGGTGATTTGTTCACAATTACAAGAGCTATTAGTGAGGTTTCAAAACTTCATACTATTGTTACATTGTCCATAATAGAAGCTGAATACATTGCAACTACACAAGCTTGTAAAGAAGCAATTTGGATAAGAAGACTCGGGCACAAACAAGAAAAAATTCTCTTGTATTATGATAGTCAAAGTTTTTTGCACATTACAAGAAATCCATCTTTTTCATTCCAAAACAAAGCACATAGATGTTCAATATCATTGCATTCGAGAAGTGGTAAAAGATGGAAGCATGGAAATGAAAAAGATTCACACAAGGAAAACCTCTTAAATGCTTTGACCAAACCAATCAACAACTACAAGTACATATGGTGCAAATACTCGTATAGCCTAAAAAAAATGTAAGAAACATGAAGATGACAATTATAAAAAGGATGGATCACAAGGGTGTGAAGACATGACTAAATCATAGTTTTCAGGTGGGAGATTCTTAATATTAGCTTAAAATGGGAGATGATGCAAGGGATGATGTTAATGTTAGCACAAAATGGGATATGATGTAAAAGATTATGTCAAATGTATTAACACAAAAGTCCAACTTTTATTATAAAACTCTATATGTATTTAATGGTGCATGTGAAAAGAAAAAAAATTTTGCCATTGATGCAATTAAAAGGGATTTGAAACTTATAAATAGACTTAATTTGTGATGAGAAAAACAAAAAAAAAAAATCACATTTTTTTCTATAAAAAAACTTTTTAAAATAGAATTTTATGAGGTGTTTTCTCTTAGCTTTTGAGGGAGTATTGTTCTCTCCTTAGAGTAAAGAGTGGCCGATATCTAATAGATTTATGAGTTTTTATAGAAAGCTTTTAAGGCGATATTTAATAGATTTAATTTAATTGATTAAAATTAAAAAATAATATTTTGTAAGTTTAGAGTTCAAATCTTAATATTTATAATTTTTTTATTATTTCTAAATCATAATTTTAAATTTTAAATCTATTAAATATCATTTTTTTTAAATAATTGTATGCATAAATTACATTAACTAGGTTTGAAAAATAAGATTTTTTAACGGCTAAAGGACTCCTCTCCCTCCCTTGCGTACACGGAATTATTAGTGTTTAGTGAGTAATAAGTCCAACCACGTGCCCATGTTCTTAACGTGAGACATGCTAAAATTTTCTTCATTGGAATCTTCATATCCTCATGCGAAGAAAATGCATAAAAATCCAGAAAGTCCATATCACTCTTTTTGCATGAATCACAGAACAAAGTTTAAAAAAGCAGTCATGCCCATCAAATCGGATGTAAAATTAATTTTAATTTTAAAAATTAAAATTAATTTTATATTTAAGCTTTAATGATCTATTTGCTTGTAAATAAATAATTAATTAATAAAATTTGAATGTTGATTAAATTGTAAAAATAAAAGAATAAAAAATGTTACATATGTATAAATATTATAGGTAAGAGACTTTGAGAGAATATAATAATTTATCATCTCGGTAAGCATTTGGTATGATGTCATATTAATTGCTAGCATAACACATTAATAGAGACAAAAACACAAAAAATAAGGAGATTTAAAAAAAAAAAAAACTCTACTCGTTCTTATTATATCGTAATAAGATTCATTACATACTTTTAAATTAATCATATATATATATATATATGTGTATACGTGTGTGAAACAAAAAAAAATATAAAAAAGATATAATTACTCTTGTAAAATGTTATTGAAATAATTTGGTGATATATTATTTAAAAAAAATAGATTGATATATATATATATATATATTAAAATAGATAAATATTATTCTCTCTATCTTAAATTATTTGAGGGATATTAATTTTTACAGAATTTTAAAAAAATTGATTTTAATATATTTAATATTAAAATTTAAAATTTTTTAAAATTAAAATTTCATAATTTTTAAAATCAAAAAGTAAAAAAATTTATAAAATATAATTTTAAAATATAAAAAAAAGTTTTAAATATAAAAAAAAAAACATAATTTTAAGATATCAAAAAAAAAAAAAGATAGAGTATAAGAATAGGAAATATTATAGAATTTTTTAATAATAATTAGTAGCAAAAAAAAGAAAAAGATATTTTGAAATTTTAAGATTCTTTTCTTAGGTTAAAAAATAATAAGTTTAATTTTATTTAAGTTGTTTTTAACTAATAATTTTATTTCTTTTTACATATAATAAGTTGCCAAAGAAAATAAGAGACGTAGGCCCACCTGAGAGGTCTTTCCAGTCATTCGGGAACTACTACTAATAGCCACAAAAATCCCAACCGCACACCGCTCTCCCGCGCACATTAGCAACTGAAAGCTCCCCCGATCTAATTTACGCTCCCCCGGTTACGCTACCAAACAACCATCCCACCGCCTCTCCTCGCTAGTTGCTTCTTCTCTCTTCTCTCCATAGCATAATTTACAAAATCCCAAAAAAAAAAAAAAAAGAAAGAAAAATATTTTCCCATTCTTGACTCAACCCAGAAAAGCTGTTAAAAATCATTTAAATTCTTTATTTCTCTAAAAAGTGAAAACTAAAATTTTAATGCAGAGAAATAAAGGCAAAATAAAATGGCTTCTCTACAGATTTTGAACCCTGTTTTCTCTTCCATTTCCATTTCCCAGTCAAATTTTCCAGGAAAATTTGATTTCAGGAGGAAACTTCTCAACTTTAATAGATGTAGAAGCTTCAGGTCTTTGGACAGCAAAAGATCTAGAATTTATTGTGCCACTCAAGAAGGTGACAACAACAGCAATGGTATGTATGTTCTTCAATTACTATAGTTTTATTCATTTTAATTGCATCTTTTATGCTACTTTCATTTCCAAAAATCTGAATCTTCAAAAGAAAAATTGAAAAGCTTTGAGAAATTATGAAGAATGCATTGAAAAGATGAAACAGTTATAGTTTCAAAAGTTTGCTATTTTTGTGTTTAATCCTTTTTTTTTTTTTTTTGAGTACGTGAAGAGCCTCCTGAGTCACTGTTTGTGAAGGAGTTGAAGAGAAGGGGGATGACACCCGCTTCATTGCTCGAGGATGCCAAAAAAATCAATCATGGATTGGATGAGGAGATGAAAGTACGGGAAGAAGCGGGAAGTTTCTCCAAAAGGAATGCCGTCTCAACTGAATTTGAGAAAAGCTTATCTAATCAAAGGGAGCGTTCCATGGAATTGAATAGTGAAGGCCTTGAGGTTCATTGATTTTGCTCAATGATTTTGCATGTTATAAACTGATAACTTTCTTGCTTTTGTTGACTTCAAATCTTAACCACAATATTTTTTAAAAGATTTTGTTGAACTTCTTTTCTTTTCTGTGCAATACCATGTTTCATCCTGCTAATGAAACTTGACTGTTAGTTATTCTAAATTTTTTTTTTAATTACAGTCCTACAATTATACAATCACAATAAAGAATTACATAGTGGTCTACCACTTATGAGTGTGAGCTTCCTATACACAATTCTGAATTGTAATTAGTTAATGGTAGTATAATGATTTTAGTTGATATGCACCGATTGGTGATTGTACTTCAGCACAATTATTATATACCGCATGAATTGTAATGGTAGCTTCATAATCTTAACAAGCTAGATTTAGAGGGTGATCTAGACTTGTTTCCTTGATTGAATTTTGAAGGAAAAAGAGAAACAACTTTACCTCGGTGGTTCACTTACATTTTCAGTGCTGTTATCAAACATTTTAGAAGAAGAAACAAAAATTCTTCATCTTCCTTTGGAGATTGTCATAGAACCAATAGCCACTTACTCTCTTTGTTTGTACTTTCCGCTGAATGAACTTGATTTTATCTTTGTTCTGTTTAGTTGAGCAGTTTTTTTTTATTGACCCAATATTTCTCATTTCTTATTAATTTCTTCAAATATAACTAACTGTTTTATGATCAAGAGCCCCTTTAATATTTATTTCAGTTCATGTGTGTTTATTTATTTATTTTGGTGGTTCATTCATTTCAGTGTGGATGAGCTAATCTCTCTTTTACTTCAAGCCACGTGCATGTTTGTCTGCATTTAATTTGTGTATTTGTGAATGCAAGCACATGTGAGACGAGAAATGAACTTATATTTTCATTATTCAGGGGCTAGTTCCGCGGGGTAAACTGTTGTTAACAATTGGAGGAACTTTCTTCCTCGGCTTTTGGCCTTTGATCCTTTCAACAATAGCATTCTTTTCTGCTCTCTACCTTGTAAGCTTCCGTTTCTTTCACTCTTGGATTTTGACTTTTGGAAGTTAACTTATAAAAAAAAAACTCACTGTTTTCATGGGCTGTGCTGTCAATAAGCCATTACAGTGACTCCTTTGAGCTTAAAGGAAAATCCCATCCTCAAAAAGGAAAAACAAAAAGAAAATAGATTATGCATTCTCTTTTTCATATTGGTTCAAGCATTATTATTGCATTAAGAAGTTGCTGGGGAAAGGTTTAAGCCCTGCGTATTTTTACTGTTCTTATTACCTTGAACTATTATCATCCTACTTCTTCGTTGACTGCAATATCATATCTGCTATTTTACTTGCTGCCTTTTTTTTTTTTTGTTTGTGGATTTGCATTAGAAGGATTTGAAATAATCTTTCACATAACGATGATGATGATGATTGCAGATGCTTTTTGTACGGCTTTGTGTTTTACAAAGGCTATATGCTGATAATTTTTCCTTTGGCAGTATTTTGGACCATCTTTCGTTCATGACGCGAGTAAGGCTGCCATTTCACCACCGCCATACATCGACCCTTATGCGCTTTTGGACGATGAAAGGATTTCTGAAACAGCCCCTCGTCTAAATTGAAGGACAGCAAGTGTTCTAAATACAAGAAAATTCTTAGGACTTAAATTACAGGTTTATGTAGCATATTTCCTTCACCTCCTGTAATTTTTTTTTTTTTTTTGGTATATCCTATATCAGCAGGAACTTGTCGCTCCCGTTGAAGGCTCAATGTCTTTCATACTGTTTTACAGATTCCTTGCCAAATTGGCTTCAAATATAGATTTTTATTGTGGGAAACTTTGAGGGAAGGAGATTGAATCGGAAGATGAAGAAGAGAGTGAACCGTTGGTTCCATTAATTTAATTGTAAAAATATGAAAAAAAAAAAAAAGTGAAAACCGATTTAACTGATTTAATTTATATAAAAGTCGAATCAACCGGTAAAAAAATTGAAAATCAACATATACAGAAGTGAGTTAAGTTTTTCTTAACCTTTTTCTTTGGACAGTGATTTAGTTAAGCAATTAAAAAAGTCTAAAATTTAAATAATTAAAATTCTTTTGAAAACAAGATTAATTATTATTACATTTAAACAACTTGAAGGAATTTATCAGTTGCAATTGTAAGTAACATTAAGATTTTGAATTCATCTTTTTCGACTCAAAAAAATTTTGAGTTTAAATTTTATTAATGATCACTTATTAAAATTATTTAAAATGCATGATTTATAATCAATTATTAATTATAATACATCTTAATATGAGAAATTAAATAACTTATTTATCACAAATTTTTTTAAAAAAAATTTTAAATTTATCCTTTCCCAACGTAAAAGGAATACAAAATATAAAGTTTAAAGTACAGGTGAGTTAATTTACATTTTTAACATATGAAAAATTTTTAAAATTACCATATATCTTTTGATAAATACATTTTATTTATTTGAAATATTCTTATTACTTAAGAAAAATTAGTTAAATAAAATTTATTTCATTTATTCTCTTTTAAAAACACAATGTTCTTACCTTATATAAATAACTTGCAATTAATTTCGTTAATAATATAAATAAATTAAAATTTTAAATAAAAAATTAATTACTAGTAAATATATTTTCACATCTTCTAATTAGACATTAGAATACATATTTTTTTCTTTTTAAGTACTCTAACATACATTATTATAAAATATTATTAATTTATTAAATGATAGTTTTAATACATTGTGTAAATTATTTTCATTACTTCTATTTTTAGTTTTTAGTCAACTTATTATAATATATATTAAATACCTCAAACACCTTATTAATCTTATATGTTATATAAATATATATAAACTAAAATTTTTGACCAAAAAAAAATCTAATATGGATGACTTATAATATTGACATATGAATGGTTTTAAAAAATCATCATGTTAGATGTAACCTCTAATAAATACATTTTAATAATTAAAAAAATAAATTATTAAATACATTTATTTTTTAATTATTTAACTTAAATCATTTTGAATAAAATTTTTTATAAAAGAAATAAAACTTTAATTGCCATAATTAATCCATAGAATAATTTTGTATAAGACTTTTTTTTTTTAATTATAAACACTTAACATGTTAGATAAATAATTAAATAACCTGTAATAATTGCTTAATAAAAAATTCTTATAATCATTCACCCACCCATTTCGTATGTCCTATCCCTAAAAAAAGGTTGTATAAAAAATAATTAATGCAAATATTATTTTAGGATTAAAAGACTAAATTATTACGTTTAATTATTTCTATTAATGTATTGTGAAATAAATTAATTTGATTTAAAATTTATATTTATTTTTTTACATTTTTAAATTACATATTTTACACGTGTGAAATAAATAAAAAATTAATTTTCATTCTTTATATTTTGTAGAAGACATTAATTTAAATTACAAAATAATTTAATTTTCCTTCTAAAGGTAATCTTCTCTAATTATTATATTCAACATCTCTATTTAAAATGAAAAAAAATTGATTGCCATTAAAGAATCTCTTAATTGTGGTGTATTAATTGCTAATAACTATGATATTATAATTAATCTTCTCTAATTATTATACTTTTATAAATGTCCAAAAAAGAACAAGCTTTAAAACTATCGATATATTTTTTCCTTATGTGAAATAGTTTGTCACATGACTTTGTGTTTCGAAATTCTTATAAATTAATTACATTTATATTTTATTATTTATCTTAAATCACTTTCAATTAAATTAATAAATTCATATTAAAAGCAATAAAACTTTAATTACCATCATCAAAGAATAATTTTGTAACCTCTTTTTTCAATTGTAAATATTCAACTCTTAAATTATATTTATATAAAAAAAATTCAATTGTCAATTTTTTAACCTATGATCTATTTATTCACTCCATCATTTAAACAATATTATATATAAATGTTTAATATGTATATATATATATATATTATTTTAAAATAATTAATATACGATTAAATTAATTAAAATTAATTTTGATATATATAATATCAAATAAATTTCATTACTATTATTATACTAATTTCAAAATCTTTCCTTTTCCATTTCTCCCAAACAAGTTAATATAGATTATGTTTGGTTATTATAATTGTAAAGTATAAATTACTCGTAATTTAAAAAACTATTATTGATATTGATTTGGTTCTTAAATTTATTTTAATTAATTAGTCACTCAAAAATTATAAATCATTCTATAATTATTTTTCAAACCGAAGTAAAGATGTTTTAGGATGGTTAAGAAATAGGTTGTATCATTTCAATATTTTTTTTGTCTCATTGTCTTGATTTTCATTTTGCCATAGAGTAAAATAGCTTAGGGTTTTTTTTCTTTGTTATATTATATATGCAGGTGGATTAGATGTATAAAATTTAATATAATCAATTACTTCCTAAAGTTTTTTATTATTTTATGTTTGATTTTATATTATTTTTTTGTAGTGAAACTTTTTCAAATTCATTCTTCATTGTAATCATATAATAAGTTATTTTTTGAAAAAAAAAATTGAAAATACATTTTCTTTAAAATAATCTATTTGGATTTGAAAAAAATTAAGTAAAATTTCTTGAAATTTTAATAATATAGATTTTTTTTTTTGTTTACACTATTGTTATTAGTTCTATTTTAGTTTAAATTACAAATATATTTGTATATATTATTTTATACTTTTTTGTAAGTTTTTGTTATGGTATTGATTTGTATACTAATTCTCCATTTTTCTTCTTTCTTGGATCATGAAACAAAAGAGCAAGCTAACTTGTAGATTAAAAGAAAGTGATTGCCTATCACTTATCCTATCATATGTATTAAGTATTTATTTTTTATATTTTTTGTATGAAATGATTTTATTTAAGATAAGATTTTTTATTTTTTTTGATTTAGTCATTAGATATGTTTGCTACTTTGACATTATCATTTTCATGATTTACCTAGCGTAAATGAAAATTTTTAAAAGTAACTTTTGAATTTTCATTTTTTGATATAACAAGAATGAAAATTATTAAAAGTAGCTTTTGAATTTCCATTTTTGGATATATAACAAAAATGAAAATTGTTAGTAGTAACTTTTTAATTTCCATTTTTTAATATAGAACAATATAAGTGTCATTAGGTTCACTGCAAGTGATAGTTATTTCATCAAATAATTCAAAAATATTAATTCAATATAATTTTTTATTCAATATTTTATCTTGCTATTTTTTTTTTACAATTTTTTTTAGAGATGATTGAAAATTTTTAAAAGATTTAGAAAAAGTAAAGTTTCTATCATTTATAAAAACATGCAATATCATTTGTATTTAATGTATTTAAAACAAATGTAATTTTTTCCTACAACTCAAACCTATACACATAATTTGTATGCATAATCACCTCTCAATCAAAATTTTCATTGATTCTGTTTTCATTACCTTTATAATTTTAGAAGTGTTTATATATTAATTAAGCATTATACTAATTGAAATATTTTTCGTGTAATTACTCTTAATTCTAATGTTATTGTTAGTCAACCATTAGTATTTAATATTTACATTTAACTTTATTTTAAAAAATCAACATTTTATTTTATCTCGACAGATAAGATTTTTAGTTTGTCCTACATTATCAACATAAAAGGATGATCATTAGAAAAAACTTGTTTTATAAAATCATTTAGAATTTTGTATCTATCTCTTACATAGTTGACTATTATATGTTTAAGGCCTTTCTTTATTGCAGAAATCTTAGTCAACATACTGTTATATTTGCTTTATAGTTATTCATCTTCACCTTTACGTCAAAGTCAAAAACCTTATATCAAAGTAGTATTTGGTATCATTTTTAAAATTATCGAAATGATCAAATCACCATAGGTTACCTTGGTGATTTGATCACCGGTAAGTTTAGATTGTCATGTTTAGTGCAATATCATAAATCATTATTAATCTTAAAAATTATGTTTGGTATTATAGAAAAAAATAAATCAAAAAATACAAAATATCTTAAATAACCTTACAAAAAAAACAAAAATTAAATATTTATTGAATCAACAATTTTATAAAATAGTTAAATATTATTTTATAAAAAATTATAAAATATAAATCAATTTTGATTAAAATAATTTCTAAAAAATTATTAAATAAATTTATTATATTTTTTAATCAATAAATTACTTGTTCAATTGTAACAAAAACCTTTTTTAACAAGTGATTATAAAAATTGGCTTTTAAAAATTTTTACCAATCAATTTCTTGAGATAATATTACTAAATTTTTTGTTAAGGCAAATTAGTCAAAAAAAAAAATATTGAAAGTTAATTTCTCAAAAGGGATAAAACTTTTCCATCATTTAGGATGGGAATCGAATCACTCCCCAAGACAATGATATTATTACTTTAGTGATTTAAGATCACTATAACATAAGAATTTTTAATTATTATTAAATAAAGTGATGTAATTGTCAATTGCAGATTACTATGACTTTTAGAATAATCACTTAATATCAAACACTCTCTAAGAGTAGACCCTTCCTACCTAGGTATTGTTATTCCCATCACCCAAAAACTCTACCAACTATTTTATTTTAACTTAAAACTTTAAATTCTTATTAGTATTTTCTTAATTGCCATTTCCTTTAATCCATTAATTTTAGTCTTATTTGATTTATACGATGCATGTTTGTAAGTACATTCATACGATATAACGTTCTCTTTTACTCTGTTAGAATATATAGTTTTCTTTCATTAAATTTTATTGATAGATTGAAATGTTATAATTGATTATGTTATATAAATATTTATTTTGATTTATTAATTTCTTTCTTTTAGAATCAATTAACAAACCCAATTTTTAATTTATTAACAATTTCTTTGTCTTATTTTTTTATTAATTTTGTTTCAAGTCTTTTATGGGATTGATAAATTGAGTTATTCCCCAACTTTTTTTTTTTATGATAATTATTTATGTTGGATGCAATTATTTTATGCATTTTATTTTAATCAACTTTTGATTTCAAAATTTTAATAAAAAATAAAAAATAATATTAGATTGTAAATTTTCAATTTTTAACTCCAACAAGGCATGAGGTTTTACATTTATTAACATATGTGAGTTTTTCTAATTGAATGAAAAAATGACATAAATTTTGAAGAATAAAAAGGTTTATGACATTTACTGTTTTCCTAGGGCAATTTAATGATAAAACTTCATTTAAAATTTATTCTGTAATTATTTTTTATTAATAGATTTTTCTATTTTTTTTTCATTACATAGAATTTTTTAAAAATTGAATTTCATATTAATTTTTTAGTGTGATTGAATTGTTATTACATTTTAATAGTTCAATTATTTATTTTTTTATTTTTTAATTAGTTATTTTGTAGTATTGGTAATTAGTATTCTCTTATTAGAATTATTTATTTTTGAGGTTATCAAAATTTTAAAGTTATTGTTTAATATGTATATAATTTAATTTTTCTCGAACTCTTTTTATATTATTATTTTTATTTTATTTTTAAAAATTATTAGATATTAAAATTATCGTTACGCACATAGCACATACTTAAATATTTCTTTAATGGTTTTGTCTTTACATGGAACGGCAGGAACAAAATGCAAATGCAAACTGCAATACCCCATTAATGATAACATCACTCAGCAATAGTTTGCATTAAATAATTGCCTAAAAATACAAATATTTGTTCATGGGTTTTTCTTCATAAAGAGCCAAAGGAATCATCTTCAAGGCTTCTAAACCAGAAATTTTCTTTTTTAAAAACACTACTTAATTCCCATATTGTTCAATAATTTTCTTAATTTTTTTTATAATAAATAAAATAATAGTATAATTTAAAAAAAAGTAGAGAAAAGCAAAAAGAAGATTCATGTTTGTAAATTCCTGTTGAGTCATGACTAATGAGTGTTGACCAACCAATAGAATGAAAAAAAAAAAATTCGGAAAAAACTCTTTTTCATGTCTTATTTTTCTCTTGCAGTGAGTCAAAGACAAATGTCTGGATTTTCCGCTTATGATGCCACCTTTTCATCTATATCAATAATCTAGAACCCAAGGAAAAAGAGCTGCATGTCTTGGTTCATGTCCTTGTTGCAAATGTTTTTCAAGCTACAAAAAAAATCTTGGTTCATGTCCTTATTGCAGCGGTCTAGCTAAATCTGATTCTGTTTCATTTGTCAAATGTCAAATTTCATAGCAGTTCTTCTTAAGCTTTACTGTTTGTGGGTTAATTTTCTTCATCCTATAGCTGGGATTTTTTCCTCCAAGGTTACTTTTGATTTCCATTTGTTTTGAAGAAAAAGAAATTTCTGTGATTTGGGATAGAAAAGGATGAAAATTACGTTGGTTTTATATTACTTGAAGGTTATCATATTGTCAATGATAATTTATCCAGATTTTTAAAATAGATAACCTATTTCTGATAAAAAAGAAAAGTTTTAGCACAGCTTGTGGTTAGATATCTAATTATAACCAACTTGTCTTCAAATTGGATCTCACACACCCAGAACATAAATCTAATATATTTTAAATACAGTCTGATATCAGTAGTTTGGGAGAGAAATAGATAGGTACAAGCAGGGTGTGAGTTCCTTAATATTAGACACCATGGAATTGGAAAACGGTATGTCTACTGCTCTTCCTGATCATATTGCTGATAACTCAAACAGAAAAGGTATAACATATTCTACTCTTAGTTTCTGTAAGAGAGGTTTTGTCAGTTTTAAATCTTGTTTTTCATTTTGGCATGGTTGAATTGAATCAGTTGATGATTTTGATTTGTGCAGGAACGTGGGTGACTGCAAGTGCACATATCATAACAGCGGTTATTGGTTCAGGAGTTTTATCTCTTTCATGGGCCATTGCTCAGTTAGGCTGGGTTGCTGGTCCCATTGTCATCTTACTCTTCTCTCTCGTAACTTGGTTCACATCTACTCTGCTAGCTGATTGTTGCAGGGACCCTGTCTCCGGAAGAAGATGTAGCTGTTATATGGATGCTGTAAAATCAAATTTAGGTGACTAGGAAACCTATTATTTAATTATTTTTGCCCTTTTTTACTCTTTTTTAGCTTGTATACAGCAACTGATTGTCCCGTGACAAAAGTGTTAAATCCTCAATTGAAATTCACATCAAAAAATTTGTCCAGATATTTATCATATCAGGCTAGCATGGTAGGGTGAAAAAACTACTTCTTTCAAGATGGAATCCCAATACTAATAATTTTTCCTTTTTTTAACAGGAGGAATCGATAGCAAGTTTTGTGGAATAGCTCAATATGTGAATCTTGTAGGAACAACAATTGGATATTCAATCACTTCAGCTATTAGTATGGTGTAAGGTTTTCTGTATGTCTGTTTTTTAGGCTTTTGATTTTGATTTATATATGCCAAAGACGATTTTTACGGAATATAACCTCCTGGTTTTGTGTACTTTGATTAACCAGGGCAATAAAAAGATCAGGTTGCTTTCAAAGGCACGGCCATGATGCAGGCTGCCATGTTAAAAACAACATGTTTATGATCATCTTTGGCATCATAGAGATCATATTAAGCCAAATTCCTAACTTTGACGAGCTTTCGGGGCTCTCCGTGGTTGCTGCGGTTATGTCTTTTGCATACGCTTCCATAGGCCTCGGTCTCTCCATAGCCAAAGTTGCAGGTGAAAACAACAATGCAAAATTTTTTTATTAAGGTAATTAACATACAGCTCCTGCCCTGAATTTACCACGATGTAGTAACTTCTTTCTATCTTGCAGAAGGGACACATGCCAGGACAAGCCTAACAGGGACAACCACAGGAGTGGATGTGACCAGCGCGCAGAAGATTTGGAACTGCTTCGAAGCCCTCGGAGACATTGCCTTCTCTTATGCTTTCTCTGTTGTCCTCATTGAGATACAGGCAAGTCTCTCCATTTCTAGATTTCTAGCAATTTTTTTAGGTGATAAGTAATGAGTAATGACCCCTGCCAATTATCCAACATCTGTTGCTTTCTTTCCAAGAAAGAAACACTAATATTGAACGGATTTCTTTTATTTTCAGGACACAATAAAATCAAGTCCACCAGAAAATGAAGCCATGAAGAAGGCTACCTCATTTGGGATCTCAGTCACCACCATGTTCTACATGTTGTGTGGAGTTTTGGGTTATGCAGCATTTGGGAACAATGCACCAGGCAACTTCCTAACAGGATTTGGTTTTTACGACCCCTACTGGCTTATTGACGTAGCTAATTTGTGCATTATTGTACATCTTGTTGGAGCTTACCAGGTAAACCCCATGAATTAACTTCAATCCTCTAGATAGGTATACTGATGCTTTTCATTATGCATAGGTATATTGCCAACCAATATTCAAGCGCGTGGAAGACTGGTGGTTTAACCGAAGGCCAAACAACAGTTTCATAAAAGAAGGCCGTCCGATTAACCTTCCATTGTGCGGGGTTTACCATTTCAGTGCGTTCAGGCTTGTATGGAGAACGGCTTATGTGATAATGACTACCGTTATGGCGATGACATTGCCATTCTTCAACGATATACTTGGTGTCCTTGGTGCTACTGCATTCTGGCCATTGACTGTGTATTTCCCAATACAGATGCACATAGCAAGAGAAAAGATTCAACCATATAGCTGGAAATGGATATGGCTAAACGTCTTGGTCGTGGTCTGCTTGGTTATATCACTTCTTGCAGCTGCTGGCTCCTTTGCAGGAATTGTTAAGGATCTCCATACCTTTAAGCCTTTCACCTCTGTTTCTTAATGTCTTCATCTCTATTCCCCTTTTGTTTAAGGAAACTTATTTATCATTCGTTCGCATGAAATATATTGTAGTTTAAATTATAAAGTCTAGGTTGAGGCAAGATTATTTGCCTGCTTTTGGCATCCGGAATTTGAAATTTGATTTCATTTTTGTTAGCCCACAATATTTGCTTGGCATTTAGAAGTCTCTTATTGTGCTAACATTTTAAACAGAAAATAGAATAAGACTCCAAGAAGCACAACCAAATTTCCAGTTTCAACACAAACACAACAGACTAAACAATAAGCATAGAATACCATATCAAGTCCTCAACAAGCTTCAAAGAATGGATGCTTACAAAATACAGAATACAGATGCAACATATGATAAAATCCAACAAATCACTGACTCACAAAATGCAAACCCTCACACTCGCACGTACTTAGTACTCATCTTCACCCTCCTCATCACCCTCAGCTGACTCAGCACCAACTTCTTCATAATCCTTCTCCAGTGCAGCCAGATCCTCACGAGCCTCTGAGAATTCTCCTTCTTCCATACCCTCACCCACATACCAGTGAACAAAGGCACGCTTTGCATACATAAGATCAAACTTGTGGTCAATGCGAGAGAACACCTCAGCAACACCGGTGGAGTTGGAAATCATGCAAACAGCCCTCTGGACCTTAGCAAGGTCACCTCCAGGAACTACAGTGGGTGGCTGGTAGTTAATACCACACTTGAATCCAGTTGGGCACCAATCAACAAACTGAATGGTGCGCTTGGTCTTGATGGTAGCAACTGCAGCATTAACATCCTTAGGCACAACATCACCACGGTACATCAAACAGCAAGCCATGTACTTGCCATGGCGAGGATCACACTTGGCCATCATAGATGAGGGCTCAAAGGCACTGTTGGTAATTTCAGCAACTGAGAGCTGTTCATGGTAAGCTTTCTCAGCAGAGATGACTGGAGCATATGAAGAAAGCATGAAGTGGATTCTTGGATAGGGGACCAAGTTGGTCTGGAATTCAGTCACATCCACGTTCAAGGCACCATCAAACCTAAGTGAGGCAGTCAAGGAAGAAATCACCTGAATCAAAATAACCACACATAAGAAATATATCAGCACAAGCCATTAACAAAATAACCACAAAAGCACAGTAAGAGGTTGGAATTTTATGATACCTGAGAGACAAGGCGGTTAAGATTGGTGTAGGTGGGTCGCTCAATGTCAAGAGAGCGCCTGCAAATGTCATAGATAGCCTCATTGTCAAGGAGAACAGCAACATCAGTGTGCTCCAAAAGTGAGTGAGTTGAGAGAACACTGTTGTAGGGTTCAACAACAGAAGTGGAGACCTGGGGAGATGGGTAGACAGTGAAACCCAACTTGGATTTCTTGCCATAATCAACAGACAATCGCTCCAAAAGAAGAGAACCAAGACCAGATCCAGTGCCTCCACCAACAGCGTTGAAAACAAGGAACCCTTGAAGACCAGTGCAGTTATCAGCAAGCTTCCTGATGCGGTCCAAGCACAGGTCAACAATCTCCTTGCCAACTGAAACAAGTACATAACCAATTATTAGTTCCAGTTGAAGAAATAAACGAATCATAGGCAAATAAGGTTAAAAGAATGTACTGGTGTAGTGGCCACGGGCAAAGTTGTTGGCAGCATCTTCCTTGCCGCTGATGAGTTGTTCTGGGTGGAAGAGCTGGCGGTAAGCACCAGTCCTCACCTCATCAATAACAGTGGGCTCAAGATCCACAAAGACAGCACGAGGGACGTGCTTCCCAGCACCAGTTTCACTGAAAAAGGTGTTAAAAGCATCATCACCTCCTCCGACAGTCTTGTCACTTGACATCTGGCCATCGGGCTGTCAGCAGAAGCACAACCGCTCGTTATCTAATGACCAAACCTTAGATTTCAAAGCTAAATAGCAACAGACGAATAAAGCGTCCCGTGGATCTAAAAGAGAAATAACACTCAAAATGCTTTACATTATAAAAAATAAAAAAAATAAAAACTCAGATCTGAAGGAAAAATCACCGATATTTTAAAGATTCAAACAAAGTGTAACCAGATCTGATAGAATACAAAGCCTAATAGATGAAAAAACCAAACATAAAAATTGGAAACCAAAAAACTCAGATCTAACAGAAAATCTAACAAATACTTTAAAAAAAAAATGCAATGGATCTAAGCAGATCATAGGCACATATAGATAAAAACAGACAGATTATAAGACTGAAAAGGTAAAACACAGATCTGAATGAAATGAAGCAACATACATTTACATCGAGAAGCGTCAAATGAGGATCTGAATCAAAATAAAAGGCAACGAAGACAAAATCTAAAAGGTAGAGAGAGCGATACCTGGATCCCGTGCTCAAGGCAGTAAAGCTCCCAGCAGGCGTTTCCGACCTGAATACCGGCCTGACCAATGTGGATCGAAATGCACTCTCTCATTTTCGCCTATGTAAATTTCAAACACAAACGACAGAAAAAGAAAGCGCAAGTGAATCAAGGAAACTAAATCGAAGGCGTTTATCAAGACACCTTCTGAGATAACAATTGAAATGGGGTGGATCTGAGAGGGGGGCTGGATAGGGATATTTATATTTGGGTAGTGGGAGATAATTGCAGATTTTTGAGGGTGATGCTGTGGTTAAAATGTTGATGTGGCAGAATCTGATTGGACCTTTACTAACAACCGCTTTAACCACGGTGAGCTGGCTTTTCCAGTTATTTCAAGTTTTAAAACTCTGCCGCCCGGGGCCTGGCTGGATAGAATCGGGCGGTTGCAACTTGCAACGTGCACCGAGTTGGATCCATTGGTAGAATTTTCCAGTTTTAGAGCTAAAACAATGGCAACCTGATTGTTGGTGCAGTCCATGCTAACATTAGCTGTTGAGGAAATGCATTTGTGGTCGATCAATTACAAATTTTCTCAAACATGCCGAAATCGCCGCATATCCTCATACTGACTTGACTGTCCTATTTCATGATATTATCAAATACATGGCTAAGGTATCATGAAGAATTCATACCTTATTGCTTGTCTACCATATGAACAATGAATAAGGAGTTGCGTTGATCCATACACATGAATAAAGCTTTTTTTTTTTTGTTGCTTGTTATATTTGGCCATCTTCCCATGGCAACAATCTAGCAATCTCACAGCTTGCATGAAACTAACTACGCCCAGACATCCTAGCTATATTCATGTTTATTACTTGATGTGAAATCAAATAAAATGGTTTTCTGAAAGACAACCATTCAGTGGCCATCTTCTCAGCATCCCTGGCTGCAGGTGTTTCTTTAAGAATGCAGTTATTGTGTGTAAATTGGATTTGAGACAGTTTCTCCCACTTTTCCTCTCTTAAAAGTTGGAAATCAAGTGGCAGGCTGTGCACCTGTCCATGTCCTCTGGTCATCAACCTATGTTCATTGATCTTTGGTTCACGGCGTTCTTGCATGTACTTTACACCAAGTCCATATCCCATGTATGAGTATGAAGCTTACAAACACAACACTTCCAAGAGTGCAAACCACCTATAATCAATCAAAACATGTTGAAAGAAAATAAGTGGCAGAATAAAAGAAAGAATCAGTTTGTAAAACTATCAAGCTTTAAAAATACAAAATCTTTATGTTGAACAAGTAAATAAGCTCTCAAATGTATAAAGTTAGTAACCTCTCAAGCTCTAGAAGCACAATCTTCAAAAAGTTAACAAAGACATACCTATACTTGTATATTTGAAAAGGTTAATGGAAGCATAAGCACATTTACTTGGTTTAATTATTAAATAACTGCATGCGACACAGGCAAGACCTAAAAGCTTGTCTTGATAAGTTTTCAAAAGCATATTCCAAGTGAATAACATTTCAAGAAGACTTCTATCCATGCTCAATTAATTCAACTTCAAGTAAAATAACCACAATTGACAAGGACTTGACTTCCCCTCTAAGACAGAGTGCTCTGCATGAGGTTATTAACTAGCAATAGTCCTCCTACAGCAACACGAGGTGCAACACTTCGGTGTCTAACTGGCTTTACTTTATTAATTGAAAGGAAAAGAAAATTCCTACTTTGAGGCATTCTGGCCAAGATCACAATTCCATACATAAAGGTCCTTTCTTAGTCTTGACTCTTGGATACTAAAATTACCTCAAAGCTGTCATAGAGCCGTACCCTCCCTCCATATCCCACTCGGTATTTAAATTTTCTCAATGAATATTGCCAATTCGTTCACAATACGTCCTTCTGTACACAACCAAAAAGACCCAAAATCCGGACCAATTTTAGGTCAACAGCACCAGCAACCAGACCAACCCAGAATAGAAGGGAGATACTGGAAGAATATTAGCTACAAAAAGGTTAGACACCAAAATTTGGGCAAGAACATTGAATTTCCAGCCCAAACAGAAAAGTTTTTCACCAACCAATGTTTATTCTAAAACATCAGCTGCACAGTATTTCGTTTCAGTCCATTGAGCTATTCACCTCCTTCTAGTTATAATTAGTTTTCCCTAACATTGGCCAACTCAGACTTATCCCTCTTAAAATGAATATTTTCCTTTTACCTTATTATAGATTCACATTTGAACCCCTCTAGTCTTGTTAGAGATATTGTGCTATGGACGAGTACACCATATTTGCACAGATAGTTAAGAAACTATTGAAATGAAGATCAACTTAGCTATGAACTGACATTTGAATGCGAACAAGGAATTTTCAAAATTGATTGGAAATGAATTAGAGAGACCGATGACATTGCTACATGCTTCTCAAAAGCCTCTTCTTGTATAAAACTAGATAAAAATAACAAAATTGGTGAACAAAAGAGGATTAAATGATGAATTACCTCAAGAAATGCCTTTAAAACCCAGAAAAATGCCAATATCAGGACTCCATTAACAGAGAATTCCACCTACATTACCACAAAACAATTGATGAATTCAACTAGAGATCCCTGCAGAATAATTTTAATCATAATTATGCGTGGAAAATTCAAAATGACATACTAAATTTATTAGAAATAAAAGAAAAAAAAAAAGAGAATATGTAAATTGAAGGGTACCAGTTCAGTAGAGATGGAGACAGGCAAAACAGTTCGTACGGCTTTCCTTGCTCGTTTAGG